GTCATTTAACTTTTTAAAATGCTCTGTAGGACCCATTACATGTGAATTTATGATCCACTAATGCAGAGGTGTAAATTTTTTCCCTGAGGAAATATTTGGCAATGTCTGGAGACATTTTTTTTTTTTAAGATTTTATTTATTTGACAGAGAGAGACATAGCGAGAGAGGGAACACAAGCAGGGGGAGTGGGAGAGGGAGAAGCAGGCTTCCCGCTGAGCAGCGAGCCTGATGCAGGGCTCGATCCCAGGATCCTGGGATCATGACCTGAGCTGAAGGCAAGACGCTTAACAACTGAGCCACCCAGGTGCCCCCAGAGACATTTTTTATTTTCACACCCAGGGAGCTGCTACTGGCATCTTGTGCATAGAGGCCAGGAATACTGCTAAACATTCCACAATGTACAGGATAGCCCCCTACAGCAGAGCATTATTTGGCCCAGAATGTCAGTTGTGCTGAGGTTGAGAAAACCTTGCATTAATGTTTCAGGAGCTCAGAGTATATAGTATTTGATATTTGTGGGGTACTAAAATTCTTAAAAAGACACTATTGCTCTTGCCGCAAGGTGAGGCTTTTTTGCAAGACCAGAGAAATCCAAAGGGAGAAAGAAAAGGAGCTCACATTAGTACATACCTATTATGTGCTAGGTATTCTGCCTAAGCATTTTTATCATTTAGTACTTTTTTTTAAAAGATTTTATTTATTTATTTGACACAGAGAACGCAAGAGAGACACAGAGCAAGCACAAGCAGGGGGAACAGCAAGCAGGGGAGAAGCAGACTACCCACTGAGCAGGAAGCCTGATGTGGGGCTTGATCCCAGGACCCTGTGATCATGACCTGAACCGAAGGCAGACGCTTAACTACTGAGCCACCCCAGTGCCCCATCATTTAGTTCTTACAACAACCATGTGAGATAGGTATTATTATTACCTCTGTTTCACAGATTAGAGAACTAAGCTCAAATACTTCAATGATTTGCCAATGTTACCCAAAGGGTAATAAGAGAACCAGGATTATAACTCATGTTTCTGTGCTTGTCCGGGTGTAAGACAGAAGGGAGGACTGGGGTCAGTATTTCTTATTTGTGTATCCCTAACTTCTAGGATAGTACCTAATTATCCATGAATGCCAGTAAATATTTGGTAATTGGTTATTTGTTCAAATGCATGTAACTGGTAAATGGCCTAACCCAAAGCCCACATTTTATTTTAAAATTCTGTGCTCTCTTCTTTGGTTCAAGAAGGGAAACTCCTTACCCAAACAACAGGAAGCATGGCTGAATTAACCTTTGGTATTTACTGCCGAAGTTGGTAATTTCCTAGTGATCACTTACAATTTTTATTGCATGTAAGAAATTTTTGAATGGTGAGAGACATGGCTTACATTCTGGTTTTGCCTACATAAATGGAATTCTAATCCTTTCTGCACAAACGAATATGAAACAAATTAGCATTAATCCAGGAAAACAGTAGGAGGAGCTCCTTTCTTTTAAATGAAGTTAAGGCCTTTAAATTAATCTGTATGGAAATTAGTTTTAAAGCTCCAAAACTACAAATAAGTGTATTAAAAGGGTTTAGAAAATTCTACATAAAGAATTCCTTTAAAAAATAATTACAATTACTTTAAAATTCAGGAATGATATATAAGATGAAATAACTTGGAACTGAATTAAGAATATTTAGTGGGTGGGGTCCCTGGATGACTCAGTCAGTTAAGCAACTGACTCTTGGTTTAGGCTCAGGTCATGATCTCCGGGTCCTGGGATTGAGCCCCATGTCCGGCCCCGAGATCAGCTGGGAGCTTGCTCAAGAATTCTCTCTACCTGTCTCCCTTTGCTCCTTTTCCTGCTTGCAAGCTCTCTCTCAGATAAATAAATAAATCTTTAAAAAAAAGGAATATTTGAGAGAAGTTATTATTTCTATACTAATAAATTTGAAAAAAAGACAAATGCTTAGAAAAATTAAAATACTAAACAAGATTCCAGAAAAGAGAATATGAATAAACCAAACCAAGAGAAGAAATAAGAATTACCTAAAAAATAATTTACCTGACCCTGATAATTATTAAAGAAATGCTTCTCCAATGATTAAAAGACAAATATCAAGATCACAAACTGTTTTTAAATATGTACCCTATGATACTACTAATAATTTGTTAATGAATAAATATAGTGACCAAATTACATTTGCTGAGTTAATCTTGTGAGGCAGATTTTTTATTAAATACTCCCAAATAAAGCAAATACCTAAAGCAAAAATTATGGCTTAGGCTTACTTCAGTCAAGTCTCTGGTTTTCTCATCTGAAAAAGGGCATAATGATAGCATCTACTTTAGCCATCCATTGTGTGTATTAGGTGAAATAGTCCATATAAACTTCTCAGAGAAATATCAACTTTAGTTGTGTTAAGGCACTGAAATTTGGAATTTGTAGAGTAGTTATTCTGCCCTGACTAACTAATATACCAATGCTTTGTCTACTCAACTGGAGGAAACATGCTGAATTGTCACAGTTTAAGTAATGACCGAAGACCTTAAGTGGGCCCTTGATGTTACCATGATGCTCCTGCACTCATAGATGTCAGTTTTATAATTTTTCTATCCTAGCATCTCCAACACCTTTTCTCCCATACTTGCTCTCAGTTGAGGACCTTATTTCTAAGTCATTGAGAAAAAACGGAGACTCCCACAAGCTGTCACCACCGTATCTACCTACTGACCAGCATCTGACCCCATATGTTGTCTTTTCCCTTTTCTTCTGTTAAATAGGGGAAGTACCCTCCTTGCTCCTGTGGAAACCAGTTCCTCCACTTGATAACTCATGTTACTCCAATGATTCTATCTTCTCCTGCATCACCAAGTTTTCTCTCTCTTTCTCTCTTTTGGATTATTCCCATCAACAGGTATGCAGTAATGTATCCTGTATGTAGCATATAGAATCATGGTTCCCCAAAGATGTCCACGTCCTAATCTCCAGAACCTGTGACTTTGTTAGGTTACATGGCAAAGGGGAATTAAGGTTGCAGATGAAATTAAGGTTACTAATGAACTGACCTTAAAATAGGAAGATGTCAATGTGAGTGACATCATAGCTGGAAAAGAAAGAAAACAGATTCTCCCCTAGAGCCTTTAGAAGGGAACATTGTCTTGCTGACATCTTCATTTTATCCCAGTGAGATCCAAGTTGCAATTTTAATGATAGAACTGTAAGATAACTAAATTGTTGTTTTAAACCATTAGATTTGTGGTAATTTCTTACAGCAGCAATAGGAAATTAATATATTACAAACAACAACAACAACAACAAAAAACCCTCTTCCTGGTGTATTTTCTTCCTCCAGCTATTGTCCTGTTTCTTTGTTGCCCTTTATAAAACTCCTTAAAAGAGTCACCTAGCTCCAATTCTCTCTTAAACCCTGTATAATAAGGCTTTTTTCCCCAACCACTTCACTGTTATGTGCTTATCAAGGTCACCAAATGACCATGTCATCATGGCCAATTCTTGGTCTTCAAACAGATTTGACAAGGTGATCACTCCCTCACCTTTGAAATGCTTTTTCTCTCCTTTCTAGGATGTCTCACTCTCCTGGTTTTCCTGGTTCCTATGGCACATTTCTTATGGCTACTCTTCAGTTTCCTTTGCCAGTTCTTCCTGATTTCCTCAATCCCTTGGAGTAGTTCAGGATTCAGTGTTTGTCTCTCTTCTCTTTTCTGTCAACACTCCTTCCCTAGCTGATCTTACCCATTTTCATGGCTTAAAATACTACTGAGACACTGATTATTCTCAGGTATGTATCTTGGCCAAGACCTGTGCTCTGGACTCCAGACTCATGATATAGTCACTTGATATCTCCACAAGGAGGTTTACTAGGCATCTAAACCTTCAGAGCCCCAAACTGATCTTCTGACCTTACCTGTAAAACCTGCTCTTCCTGACATTTTCTCCACGTAGGTTAATGGGAATTTCACCCTTTAAGTTGCTCAGGCCAAAAACCTTGGACTCATCTTTGCCACCTTTTTTTCTCTCCTGACCCTCATCCAACCTTTCAGTCAAATCATCTCCAGGGTCTAGAACAGCAGTTAGCCAAACCTATTGGTTAAGTCCTTCAAAACATATCAATCTGACTATGTCCCATCACCCCTACAGCTACTATCCTAATACAAGGTATCAGGCCTGGATTTTTCAGTAGCCTTCTAACTGGTCTCCTTACTTCTATGTCCCCCTAAATTCTAGTCTCCACAGACACAGACTGATCCTTCTAAAATAGAAATTAGATCACATCATTGTTCTGCTCAACACTGTCCAATGGTGTCTCAACTCAGAGTGAAAGCCAAATGCCTATAAGCCCCCAAAACATCAGACTGGGTGAACTTTCACCAACTGCTCAACTGTATTGATCAGGCTGTTTCTTGAAGAAGGTATTTTTCCTCTTCAACACCTTTGCGTTTCCTGTTCCTTTTGATTTCTTTCTTCTAATGTTTTCATTGCTTTCTCCCTCAGTTCTCTTGAGTCTTCACTCAAATATCATCATCTCAGTAATGCCTTCTCTGGTCATTTAAGATTTCATCATTCATCTTCCACCTCTAGCATTCTCTTCTCTTTATTTTTTCCACTGCATTTATTATCTCTGACATACAATATACTTTCTTTGCTTACTGTTTATTTTTCATACTAAATTCTATGAAGACAAGGTTTGGGGGGTTGTTTTGTTTACTGAAGTATCCCAAAGGCCCAGGACAGTAATTAGCACATTACAGGCACACACTAAATAAAAATACATATTGAATGAATGAAGAACTGGAAGGTAGGGTATGAGGGGAAAATGGCAAAAATATGAGGACTAAGAGTAAGCAGAGACCATGTCCTGAATGACCTCTAAGCCATGTTTCTGAAGGTTAGTGAGATACCACTGATCTGTCTTACTTATGGGATTAATATGATCAGATTTGTATTTTTTTAAATCGCTGATAATACTATAGAGGATTAATGATTGTATTAATAATTTGGAGTGGGAATATTTGCCCAAAATGTTGACTTATTTATTTATTTATTTTCCCAGGAAAAGAGGCTCTGTGGTCTCTTGCAGACTTTCCAGCAGGGGTTAATTCCACAGAAATCAGTGCCTTGGGGCAGTATCTGTTTTGCCAGCCACCTGTAAGTATATTACAACTTTTGATTCTGAGTTCTTGTTTCTCCTGGAGAAATAATGATAAATGAAAGTAATTTCTATGGGCAGTTTCTGTTTTGTATAATTTGTCAACATTTAACAGCAAACACCTCCTTTAGCATTACCCCATGGACTGCCAATTCAGTAAAGCATTAGAGCACTGGTCTGGCAGCACTGTCCAATAGTCCCTGAAAGACCAAAAAACCCGAAGTTAAATTTGAAGGGGCTTTTCTTTTCTTTTTTTTAAAGATTTTATTTGTTTATTTGACAGAGAGAGATAGCAAGAGCGGTAACACAAGCAGGCGGAGTGGGAGAGGGAGAAGCAGGCTTCCCACTGAGCAGAGAGTCTGATGTGGGACTCGATCCCAGGAACCTGGGACCATGACCTGAGCCGAAGGCAGACGCTTAACAACTGAGCCATCCAAGCACCCCTGAAGGGGCTTTTCCAAGATCGGTATTCTTCAGTGTCTTATTGTGAGCTACACAGTTTATTACTTGCTTCAGGAAGTAGAAACAGCCATGATAGGAAGGAACACATACTTCCCAAGGGTGCCGCCTTCTGTTTTTATTCCCGTAACCGTGCACAGTGCCAGGCATGTCACATGTGCCCAATGAAACCTAAGTTAAAACAGTAAACCTTGTTCAAGAACTTTGAGGCCAAGGTAGTAGAAAACAATAAAGGAGACTTAGGAAGTGGTTGAATGATGAAAGTAGTCCTGTGTTGAAACACAAGCAGATGCATGTTATCAGATTTCTGTGTGGCCTGCTAGGTCCGGAATGAAAGTTTTCTTGGTACAGAAGGTAGCTGTGGTGGCCGGGTTAACCACAGACAGGTTAGATCTTGTTTGGATATATAAGCCCAATAAAAATTTTGCTCAAGATGGGAGAACAATGAATAAAATCTTGTATGTTAGTCTATTAATTCTTGTAGTAATTTTGTCTGTTTAAAGTCTTTTCATATAGAGTGCATCAGATGTTTGTTAAAATAATGTGTATAACAGTTACATGAAATTTATTTCATATAAGTATACAAGAATAACTGTGTTTGTGTGTGTGTGTGTGTACTAACGTTACCACCCTTGCTTGATGTAAAGTGCTTTACATGACTTTAAAACAATACAAATATCACGAGGGAACAAAATTCCAGACTTCCAAAGCAGATAGTATTAGGTTTAAAAACAGAAAAATTGTCCAAGGAATGAAAAATATTAATAGAAATAGATTGAAGACTATAGGGCTCCACACATGACTTCTCAAGTGTTATTACACCATTACAATTGTGAAAGAAATAACTATTTGTAATATGTAGTTGAAAAAGAGAGTATTAAAACTGAGAAAAATAAACTTGGATTAAGCTCTCATAGCATAAACCACAATAAATAGCAGGTGAGTTCCAGTCAAGCATGAAGCATAATAAGTTGAATGAAATAGAATTGTATAAGTATCTTAACTGGAGAGAAGAGTATTTGTTTTAAAAAATGGTTTGGGGCAACTGGGTGGTGGCTCAGTTGGTTAAGCGTTTGACTCTTGATCTCAGCTCAGATCTTGATCTCAGGATTGTGAGTTTGAGCCCCACATTGGACTCCACACTGGGCATGGAGCCTACTTAAAAAAAAAAAGTTTAACTAAAGTATTATTGGCATACAGTAAACCACACATCTTTAAAACACGTCATAAGTTTTGACATGTGTACATTTGTGAAATCTTCACCACACTCAAGATATTAACATATCCATCACCCCCAAAGTTTCTTCATGCCCATTTGTAAAGCCTCATTCCTAACTCCTCTCACTTCTTACCTCCCCCATCTTTGAGGCAATCACTCTCTGTTTTCTGTCACTATAGTTTGTGCAAATGTAAGTTTTTGACTGGTGAAAGTATTACTGATTATAAGATTGATGGTTCCACTTTTATAAAAGTCAAAATGTAATGAAAACAAGGAAAGAATAGAAATGGAAATGTTTTATGATAAATGTGACAGATAAAAGCTTAACAGTCAGAATATTTCAAAAATTTAATAAAAAGGGTGTTTTATTTTGACTTGTTTGATAGCAAGGAACAGAGACACAGTCCATTTAGCTCAAGAAAAACAATACCTATGTTAGGGATATACATGAACTGCATCTAAACTGGAGAGTTGCTGAAAACAGAGGTAGCCTGGGGTACTTGACTCTTTGGTTTTCCTCTCATGGGCCAAATGATTGTTCTCTGATGAGGTCTCTATTTCTTTAAGCACATCTACTTAGTTTTCTCTCTACCAGCTGTCTTTGTCTGCTAACCCTAGTTTCTAGTCTCTCATAATTACAACTTGTCATGGCTCCTCTGACTCCAGTATACACAAGGCACCTCTTTGTTCAGGCTTTTTCACTTTTGCTCCTTCTATTAAGTGCATCGACATTCAACATTTCCAAATTCAAATTCTCAAGAGAGGAATGTGATTGGCTTGGCTCACCTTTTTGAGCCAGGCCATATACCACAGGTGGTTGGCCAGGATATTCATCAGTTACCTTTGGGTCTGAAATGACCCATCACTGTGGGTTAGAAAGCCGGAATCACATGGTGCAAAACATCAGCATGTACTGTGAACAGGATAGGCATTGAGTGTTTACCTGTCCAGTAAAGAGGATAGTCCTTAAGAGCCACTATTTATTAGCTATGTGACTTTGGGTAACTTACATAACCTGTCTGAACCTTAGTTTTCTCATTTATAACTTGGGGATAATAACTGCCTTGTATAATTTTTGTAAAAAATAAAATACATGTAAAGCATGGTACAGTATCATGTAATAGGTCTCAATTAGTGGTAGCTATTTTATTTTGTTTATTATTAACAGATTAATAATGATCTCAAGAAAAATAATCCATCTCCATGGTAAAGGTCAAAAGATAGCTCACACACAGACAAAAACCAAATAGTTAGCTAACAATGAAAAAATGTCCAGTTTTTACAATTTTTAAAATGCACTTAAAAATAGCTATGATATGGGGCGCCTGGGTGGCTCAGATGGTTAAGCGTCTGCCTTCAGCTCAGGTCATGATCCCAGGGTCCTGGGATCAAGCCCTGTATTGGGCTCCCTGCTTGGCAGGGAGCCTGCATCTCCCTCTCCCTCTACTGTTCCCCCTGCTTGTGCTCTCTCACTCTGTCTGTCAAATAAATAAATAAAATCTTTAAAAAAATAGCTATATTTTGCATCTGTTAAACTTGCTAATAAATTAAAATTATACATTGCAATATTGATGTGGCAATGAAGAAAGAGTATATTCATATTTGGTAGTTGACTTGTAGATTAGCCTAATTATTCCAAATAGCAATCTCACAAAACATATCCCTTAATTCATAGTCCCTTTCTGGGGAAATACGTCCCAAGGAGGTAATTGAAAAGGAAAACCTCTATTTGTGCAAAAATATTTATAGCTCTCTTTTTAATTCAAACGCTTTCATCATTTTAGAATGGAAAGAGACCTAAGAGATTATTTTTCCTTTGGGCTGCACATTAGAGTCATTTAGGAGCTTTTAGAAACACTCATGTCCCATGCCCAGAGATTTTGAGGTAAACGTCCTGAAATATGGTCTGAGCTTGAGTGCAATTTAGAAACTCCTTAGCTATTCTGATGTGCAAGAAGGAAGGAGAACCACTCTTCCAGTCCCACACCATTAGGGGAACTGTGAAAAAAACAGAGCCAGAGGTTAAAAGGACCCTGAAAGGAGCACACATAAGATGTGATAAAAGAGCTGGGCTGAAAATGAAGATGTTTGTTCCTAATTCCTAACCCTGACTTCTAGTCTTTTTTTTTTTTTTTTTGTAAGATTTTATTTATTTAAGAGAGAGAGAGCACGAGCAGTGGGCAGGGGCAGAGGGAGAGGGACAAGCAGACTCCCCGCTGAGCGGGGAGCCCAACGTGGGGCTCATTGCCAGGACCTGAGATCATGACCTGAGCCAAAGGCAGATGCTTAACCAACTGAGCCACCCAAGCACCCCTGACTTCTGGTCTTGATGATTAACTGGAAACATCCATGTGTCCAATATTTAGAGACGAGGTAACCAGTGATTGTGCAATAGTAAAATGCACTCATTGTTATTGGCTATCTATGGACAAGGTAGAACATAGTGTGTACACACTGATGAGAACCAGGTGTGATAGTGGTGTGTCTGTTGCTATCCTCACCAAGAGATTCTCAGCTGGACCTGTTGAGTTCCTCCTTGGGAGAGCCGTGGTTCTCCCTTCATGCTCTACCTCCTGCCCAAAGTGGCCAAGTTCCCTGAGTCCCCATCTCTGTTATGGGGAGTGGGGTTATTGATGTCCAGTACTGCTGAACTGTGGGCTGTCTATGCTGAACAGTGATGAATCAGAAGTCATGTTTTAAAATTGTGGTGAAATATACATAACAAAATTTCCATCTTAACCATTTTTAAGTTGCACAGTTCAGTGGCATTAAGTACATTCATATTGTTGTACAGTCACCACCATCCATCTCCAGACTTTTTAATCTTTCCCACTGAAACTTTCTACCCATTAAACAATAACTCTCCATTTCCCCTACCCCACTGCCCCAGCCTCTGGCAACTACCATTCTACTTTCTGCCTCTATGAATTTGACCTTAGTACCTTATATAAATAGAATCACACAACATGTGGTTTTGTTTTGTTTGTTTGTTTCTTTGAGAGAGAGAGAACGTGTGTTTGTGCATGTGCATGCGAGAGTTGGGGGGGTGCAGAGGGAGATGGAGAAAGAATCTCAAGTAGGTTTCACACCCAGTGAGGATCCTGACACAGGGCTCAATCACACGACCCTGAGATGGTGACCTGAGCCAAAGTCAAGAGTCGGACATTTAACCGACTGAGCTACCGAGGCACCTCCACCATGTGTCCTTTTGACTGCTTATTTCATTTAGCTTAATGCCTTCAAAATTAAGAGTCAATTTTTAGGGATAAATTATTCTTTGTCTTTCTCTCTACTCCCTTGTTCTTTCTTCCAAAAGCCACT